AACCCAGCCCTGGCCTGCCAAACAACAAGACAATTACAACAAAAAAATAGCCAGGCCTTGTGGTGGGGCACCTGTAGTCCCAGCTGCTTGGAAGGCTGAGGCAAGAGAATCACTAAGCCCAAGAGTTGGACGTTGCTGTGAGCTGTGATGCCACGGTACTCTACCAATGGTGATATAGTGAGACTCTGCTTCAAAAAAAAAAAAAAAAAGAAAGAAAGAAAAAAAGAAAAATCAAACAAAATAGACAAGGGAATGTATTAATTGCTGTCTCAATAATTCCAATCTGCTTTTAAGAGATTACTATAATGAAATAAACCACAATAAACCAGTAAATGAAAAAAAAAAAAGGCACTGGTCTGTGGCAGTGGTGGTGACAGGAGAGGAATTAGGGAGTTAAGCTCATGGTGTCTCTGGACGGCCATGGCCTTTACCCTGAAGTCATTGCTGTAGGTTGGTTGCCCTGTTCTTCCTCAAGAGCATTTGGTAGGGAACAGACCAGAGAATTGTTTGATTCAGAAAAGAGCCAGAAATTAAATCTCTGAATCTTTTTTGATCTGCACAAACGATGATGAGAATGTCCCTCTATAAAAGTAATACAATTTCAGCTGAGTTTATTGTTATTATTTGGGTGAACAGTGGAGGAATGGAGACTCAGAAAAGAAATGCCAGCAGAAGTTATTACTTTGGTCATTATTGGAATATTCATATCTTAGCAGTCTGACCTTGTACTTGACAAAAAATGTAAAGAGACAATAAAACTAGGATTCCTGTTTAAAAGAAAAAAGGCATCAATAGTTGATATTTGAGTACTGGTTACCAAATCGTGTCTTTGTGGTGTCAGATCTGTAACTGCTGGTTTTACAATGTCTGCAAAACTTGCTTTCTGCTTTTCTTTTCTTTCTTTTCTTTTCTTTCTTTTTTTTTTCTTTGTGACAGAGTCTCACTCAAGTCTTCCTGGGGTTGAGTGCCCTGGCCTCATAGCTCTCAGCATCCTCAAACTCTTGGGCTCAAGTGTCACTCTTGTCTCAGCCTCCCATGTAGCTGAGACTACAGGCACCTGGTAAAACACCTGGCTAGTTTTTATATTTTTTAACTTAATTTTTATTAAATCATAACTATATACATTTATGGGTTACAATGTGATGATTTGATATACAATGTGGAATGCTTAAATCAAACTGATTAACATAACCATCACCTCACTTATTTTTTGTGGTAAGACGTTTATAATATGCTCCTAGTTGTGAAATGTACCCTTGCATTGTGCACATTAGGCGAGATTCAGCCAAATACCCTCCGTCCTCCCACCAGTTGCCCTCCTCTCCCCTTCCCCCTGCTGCACTATATTTGTGTTTTATCTTTCCTATGAGTGTGTGTTTATATATTGGTTTCATAATAGTATTGAGTACATTGGATATTTTTTTCCCATTCTTGAGATACTTTGATAAGAAGACTGTTCCAATTCCATCCAAGTAAAAATAAAAGATGTAAAGTCTCCATCTTTTTATGGCTGAATAGTATTCCATGGTATACACATACTGCAGTTTGTTAATCCATTCATGGGTTGGTGGGCATTTGGGTTGTTTCCACGACTGAGCAATTATAAAATGGGCTGCAGTAAACATTCTGGTGCAAATGTCTCTATGGTTAAATGATTTTTGTTCTTCTGGGTAGACGGGAATGTGTGATCAAATGGAAGGTAAACATTTAGCTCCTTTAGAATTCCATACTACTTTCCAAAAAGGCTGTATTAGTTTACACCATCAGTGTAGAAGTGTTCCCTTCTCTCTACATCCATGCCAACATCTGCAGTTTTGTGATTTTGTGATGTGGGCTAATCTTACCTGGAGTTAGGTGATATCTCGGAGTGGTTTTGATTTGCATTTTTCTGATGATGAAAGATGATGAGCATTTTTTCATGTTTGTTGGCCTGTCATCTTCAGAGAAGTTTCTGTTCAAGTCTCTTATCCACAGAGAAATAGGTTGTTCTTTTCTTATTTATTTATTTATTTATTTATTTTTGAGACAGAGTCTCAAGCTGTTGCCCTGGGTAGAGTGCTATGCCTCACAGCAACCTCGAACTCCTGGGTTTAAGTGATTCTTTTGCCTCAGCCTCCCAGTAGCTGGGACTACTGGCGCCCACCACAACCCCTGACTATTTTTGTTGTTGTTGTTGCAATTGTCATCATTGCCTTAGCTGGCCTGAGGCAGGTTTGAACCTGCCAGCCTCCGTGTATGTGGCTGGTGCCCTACTGACAGAGCCACAGGCACTGCCTGTTCTTTTCTTATTTATTAATTTGACTTCTCTGTAGATTCTAGTTATCTGACCTTTGTCAGAATCATAAACTGTGAAAATCTTCTCCCATTCTGAAGGCTGTTTGCTTTACTTGTAGTGCCCTTTTCTGGATAGAAGTTTTTGTTTTTCTATCCAACCTCCAACTGGGCTCAAGCGATTCTCCTGCCTCCACCTCCCAAGTAGCTGGGACTACAGGCGCCCGCCACAATGCTCAGCTAATTTTTGTTTGTAGCCATCATTGTTGTTTGGCAGGCCTGGGCTGGATTTGAACTCGTCAGCTCAGGTGTATGTGGCTGACGCCTTAAGTGGCTTGAGCCACAGGCACCGAGCCTGGATAGAAGATTTAAACTTAAGACATGAAACTATAAAAATACTAGAAGAGACCCCGGGGAAAACGCTTGAAGGTACTGGCCTGGGAAAATATTTTGTGAGGAGGATGTCCCCTGGCAATTGAAGCAACACCAAAAATATATTACTGGGATCTGATGTAGCTAATTTTTCTATTTTTAGTAGAGATGGGTACTCGCTTTGGTTAGGCAATCCACTGCCTCCACCTCCCAGAATGTCACCTTTCTTGAGATCCATGTCCATTCTACTCCAACACACTTTTTCTTTTTTCATGTCAGGTGGGTAATGTGCTGATGCTGTAACAAAATTTGTGGGAGGCACATCTCATTCATGCTCATGAAAACCCAATCATCATGCTTTTGAACTATGAAAGGATCCCAACACATTTTTTAAAAAAATTCAGATTAATATGAGGGTACAAATGGTTAAGATACACTGTTTTCATTTCTAAAGTAAAGTTCAAGTTATAATTGAGCCCTTTACCCACAGCTGAATACCCTTGTATTGTGGACATTAGGTGAGAGTTTACCAATCCTCCCCTTTCCTTTTTCCCTTCTCTCCCTGCCTCCACTTGAATATACTTGTGTTTTTCTCTTGTATGGGCATATCATTGCTTTTCTATAGGTTTCATATCAGTATGGAGTACATTGGATACTAGCGTTTCCATTCTTGTGATATTTTACTGAGAAGAATGCACTTCAACTCCATCCAGGTAAATGCAAAAGATGTAAAATCTCTACCATAGTTTGTTAATCCATTCATGGGTTGATGGGCACTTGGGTTGCTTCCATGTCTTGGCAGTTTACTGCCCCCTACTTAATAATTTAATAATTTGAATTGTAGCTTGCAGCTAGTTTGAGGTATCTCAAAAGGGACCACAGAGCCTTTCACATACTAAATAATACTCAATAAACATTTGACTTGATTTAATGTGAGCCTGTTGTTATGTATCAGCAGTTAACAACCTTTGGGCTTCCTTGTGAGATATTTAATGAAATTTAATAAAGACCAAGAAATTGGCTCGGCGCCTGTGGCTCAAGCGGCTAAGGCGCCAGCCACATACACCTAAGGTGGTGGGTTCGAATCCAGCCCAGGCCCGCCAAACAACAATGATGGCTGCAACCAAAAAATAGCTGGGCGTTGTGGCGGGCGCCTGTGGTCCCAGCTACTTGGGAGGCTGAGGCAGGATACTCGCTTGAGCCCAGGAGTTGGAGGTTGCTGTGAGCAGTAAAGCCATGGCACTCTACCCAGGGGGACAGCTTGAGGCTCTGTCTCAAAAAAAAAAATAAAAATAAAGACCAAGAAATTATAGTTTATATATAAGTAAACAATCTTAGTATAATGGTTTTAGGTATTAAAGTTAAAACCGTAAGTCAAGTAAATTGGATAACATGCCAATAATTCTTCACAGTTCACTATAGCCTGTAAGAATCAGTTGTCTAATGTAAGAAATAAGTAGATACATGGCTAGACTGACCTTGTGCTGTCCATGCATAATGAAACTTGAATTATTTCTGATAAATAGTAACCATAGAAATCTGATTGTGTATTAATGTAAACTCAACTCCAACTGAGGTTTATTTATTTATAAAACATTTTAAAAGATATACTGGAACACTTGTACACACTCAGTTATAAGCTGGACTGTGTTTACTTTAGAATTAGTCATTGACATTGTTAGTTTAGGTTTGACGTAAGTACTTGTTTATCTTTTGGTTGGAGAAGGACCTTATAGGTAGTAAATTTTGTCGGTTCTTGGAGAAATTAATTATTTTTTTCAAAGACAGGGTAGCAAATTTATGTATATTTTATCTGTATTATTCTTAAGTTGTGATAAGTAGCTATAAAGTAAAGTAGAAGTTTAACAGTGATAGTTAAGACTTTTCAGAAATGTATGTGAATGAGTGAAATCAGATATATTGATACTTTGCAAGTTTAGTTTTCTTTTTATTTTTTTGTTTTGTTTTTTGAGATAGAGTCTTACTTTATCACCCTTGGTAGAGTGCTGTGGAGTCACAACTCACAGCTACCTCCAACTCCTGGGCTAAAGTGATTCTCTTGCCTCAGCCTCCGGAGTAGCTGGGACTATAGGTGCCCACCACAATGTCTGGCTATTTTTTTGTTCAGTCTCGCTGGGGCTGGGTTCAAACCTACCACCCTTGGTATATGGGGCTGGCGCTCTACCCACTGAGGCACAGGCACCACCCGCAACTTTAGTTTTATTATTCTATCCGTACCACCATATTTTTACAGAATTTATTTTTCTTCAACATGGGTCACATGGGCATAAGTTGAAGCATTAGTTCTATTGGCGTGATTTAGGTATTAGTACTGCAGGGAGAAATCTGTGGACTGCAAAAACATGGGCTTTTTCAATCTGAATCTGAATTTCAGGTTGTACTGTTTAATTAAGTCTGAGACTCTGGACAAATTACTTAACTTTTCTGCTTTAATTAATCTGTAAAGTGGAATTTTTATATTCCATAGCAGTGTTTTTCAAATTTTAGGAGTGTTTTTTTTTAAATTGCTCATTAGTCCTGAAATCACTAAAGTGGGTGACCAGTATTAGGAGGAAAAAAGATTGTCTAATAAGGGAAATTATTGTTTTATGACATTTTGTTTCATAGTATACCTCCAGACTTATGTGGGCAGGTAGGAAATTTGTTGCAACATAAGATATATTTCTTACCATGAGCTAGGTTTGGAAATATTTGAAAAATTTTCTTCTTTTTTTATTTTTTTATAGACAGAGTCTCACTTTGTTGCCCTTGGTAGAGTGCTGTGGCATCATAGCGCACAGCAACCTCCATCTCTTGGGCTTAGGCGATTCTCTTGCCTGAGCCTCCCCAGTAGCTGGGACCACAGGTGCCCACCACAAGGTCTGGCTATTTTGTTGTTGTTGTTATTGTTGTTTGGCTGGGGCTGAGTTTGAACCTGCTACCCTCAGTATATGGGGCTGGTGCCCCACTCACTGAGCCACAGGCACTGCCCAAAATATTTGAAAAATTTTCTACAAGGTTGTTAGGATTAATTGTCTAGCCTAACCCCCATTTTATAGATAGGCACTGAGAGAAAGATGGCCTTGGAGAAATTTTATTGGGTATTGTGGCCTTGATGGATTTAGTTATGTTTATATAAATTTTTTCTTTATTCCAAGAGCTATACAATAAAAGCTGATATGCTACCTTAAATTGTTGGAGTATGGAAATTTTTTTCTTAATTAGACAGTCATTTAACACATAAAGGATTTTTTGAAATACATTTTTTGGGGAATACATACACAGTAGGTGTGAGTGTAATTTAGCAGAATCTGGTAATGTTGGAATGTTGGAATATGTACACCCTAACCTACAGCCTAGCAATTCCAATTCTTCTGCTTGTGCTCAAGGAGACATGCAGGAGCATGCTCACTGCAGTATTGTTGGTAATGGCAAAAATTTGTAAACAAGGCCAGGTGGCTCATGCCTGTAAGCCTGTAATCGTAGTACTCTGGGAGGCTGAGCTGGATGGATTGCCTGAGCTCACGAGTTTGAGACCAGCCTGAGTGAGAGTGAAACCCCTGTCTCTAAAAATAGAGTAGTTTCAGCTACTTGGGAGGCTGAGGCAAGAGAATCACTTGAGCCTAAGAGTTTGAGATTGCTGAGCTATGATACGATAGCACTCTACTGAGAGCAACAAAGTGGTACTCTGTCTCCAAAAGAAATTTTTTTGTAAACAACTTAAAAGCTTAAAAGTCTCACAGTAGATGTTTACTATATGAACTATATACTCATTTAGTGGAGTACTAAGTTAAAATGAATAAACTAAAGCTACATTTATCAATGTTAAATGTCAAACCAAAATGGATAGAAGGGCAAGTTGCTGACAGATGGTATATCATATATCTAACATTTAGAAACACACCTAAATATACATAGTACTGTATATTATTTATGGATACAAATATATGTAGTAAAAACAAAAACTTGGACTGAAATGAGACACATCAATTTCAGGACAATAGATACTTGGAGTGAGAGGGAGAAAAAGTAGGATTAAGTAGGGATTTCATTGTATCGGTACTATAACATAGTATCTTGGAAAAAATGACCTGAAGTAAATAATGGCAAAATATTGAGATATAGTCGATCCAGCTTTTAGGTACCTAGGGAGTCATGACATATTTTTTGTTTGTTTTAAATATTTGAACAATAACATACTTATATAAAAAGTTTTGTGTATACTTCATGGCACAGAATAGCCATGAGTAACGGCACATTGTACTGGAGTTTAGAGAACAAAAAATTTTCTGAAAGCTGGGGTTTAACCTAGTTAGGTGTTCCAGACTTTTCAGAAAGACAAAAATTTAGTTTAGTATAGAGATAGGTTAAAATAATATATAAGTAGAATTGAGTGTCTACTTCTATAATATGGAACAAAGCATCAACCTAGACAATTTTTCTTTATAAGTATGAAGATATCTCCTTCTCATTCCCATGCATGTTGTTTTCCCATTGCTCTTCCATTACCATGTTTGTGATTACCTCCCCCCTACCCCCCAAAATGAGGCCTCACTATATTGCCCAGGCTGGTTTTAGAACTCCTGGCCTCAAGTGATCCTCATGCTTCCCAAGTACCTGGGGTGCAAGCCATTGTACTCATCTTTGTGATTACCCTTGAGGGACCCCTGTGTTTTCTGATATGAATGCTTATTATAGTTGTACATCAGTGTGTCTTAACTTGGCTCCTGCCCTTACTGTCCTATAAATGTCCTCTGCTGAATCATCATGAGCAATTGCTTGACAATCTTGGTTAACTAGTTTTAGTGCTTATTCAAAGATCTGTCCTATTGAGCCTTAAGACTGCTTTCTTGGTCTTCGGTATGCTATAGACCAGCGCTGTTGAATGGAACTTTCTTTGAAATGTTTTATATTGACATTGTTCATTATGGTGGCCACAGGCTACTTGTAGCTACTGAGCTTTTGAAATATGGCTAATGTGACTAAGGAATTCTTTTTTTTTTGAGACAGAGTCTCACTATGTTGCCCTTGGTAGAGTGCCATAGTGTCACAGCTCACAGAAACCTCAAACTCTTGGGCTTAAGCGATGATTCTCTTGCCTCAGCCTCCCAAGTAGCTGGGACTACAGACACCCACACAACGCCCAGCTATTTTTTTTGTTGTTGTTGTCATTGTTGTTTGGCAGGCCTGGGCTGCATTTGAACCTGCCAGCCCTGGTGTATGTGGTTGGAACCCTAACCATTGGGCGATAGGCACCAAGCCAGGAATTCTTTAATTTTATTTAATTTTGGTTACACTTAAATAACCATATGCTGCCGGTGGCTCACATAGTAGACAGTGTGCTTCCATCTGTTGTTGAGAATGCTAAATTTGATTA